ATTTCCTCACTTCAACCTCTTGTAACAAATCGATCTTAAATGTTTTCCTTTATTATTCCAAAGAATCGTGACCTGTTGTGAAATATTATGTCATGGGATCATTAATTAGTCGATTCTATGCCTTTCATCCTCCTTGCTTGCATTGGGCGATACATTGTGTTACGGAATAAATAGGAAAATTCTTAATGATTGATATCCTGTCAAACACGTGGAATATAGAATATTTTTACATAATTATCTCCGAATCGCTTAATACGTTTAGCTGATCATTATGTAATATTTATAAAGATCACTAAGGACTCTATTATGCTCGGCAACCAGACCGGACCACACGAAGGTACTGTATCCAGAAGGTAACCAGAGGGCTACCAGTTTCTTTTGCGGTGAGGTACACTAATCCCTCACAGTAGGTTGAATTGAAAAGGTCTTCATTTCAGTAGTCTTCATATTTTGTAAATTTAATTTTAACTTAACTTTAAATCTACAATTAGCTTTTAATTCTAGTCTAAAATTAAATTAAGTAAAAAAAAGATTTTTCTCATTAATAAACATTTCCAATATTCCTAGGTCTTACAGTTTATTTATTTTTATTTTTTTTAGTTTTTGGTTGCTATGATTTAAGCTATATCACCTTTGATGTTAAATTTCAAGAAATTATAAGTAAATAACAAGATATTATTCAGTGCATGACGCCATGGTATCTTAAAATGTAACTCATATACAAAGCATGGTTTTATAACCATCATTTTTTATATATCATAGTTAGATTACATCATAGCCCTGTTGGCAATTCATATGTTTTAGATCCTTTAGTAAAACCCAAGTTTAAAAAAATCTTTTATGTAATTTGATTACAGAATTTATTTCCGAATCTTGTAGGACTTTCCTATTGTTTCTCAAATATCCATTTTTTTTTTTTTTTTTGCTTATGGGCACATACGGATGACAATCAACCATTATATGGGTCATGAGCAATGTAATGGTTGCCGTGAGAGGGTTCACAACGGCCGATTCTAAACCGCAACAAAATTATTTCTTTTCGTCTCGATCCTCAGCTTTTATTACCCCATTTAAATGTGTCTCATTTTACCTTTAGTAGTTTCGAAGGGTAGTTTTTCCAAGCCAATTGCAATGAACCACAACCAAGGATTCGAGCATCTGCCTTTCTCGTTTTCCTCAATGCCGTAATGGGATAGAACCAAAATAAATACTTCAATCACAGTACAGTTTTTTCTTCATATTTGTTATTAAGAATTTTCTATATTGTATGAATTGCTGCCACCTTTGTACCATCATTGTCACTAACACATCTCTTGTGTTACCTGCAGACTTTCTGGAGTTAACAACTTGAAAAAATAGAAGAGTTTCTTTGATAGCAAAAGCCTCTTCCTCAAATGCATAACAATCTGCAGATAATTTGGAAAAAATATCTTCGCTGTCTGTCATGTCCACAGTTCCCTACAGGAGAGCCTCTACATTTTTTTTTGTTTTTTATAGCCACTTTTATTTTTTATTTTCATTTGGTTTAATAATAATTAGCTAGAAAAGGAAAGACAGTTTAGTCAAGAGGTTATTAAACGATTCTCGCTAGATCGCTAGATAGGTTCACATGTTATTATTTTTGGTGCTAATTCTTCAGATATTCTCGATAAAATAAGAAATTGTTCTTTACATTAATTGTGTTAGAACCATTAAAACGATAGAGTAAATCGTTAACCATTATAACTTGAAAAGATAAAAGTTCATAAGTCTGGAAAGGTTCATAGCAGGAAGCCGATGACTTACTGATCTACAGTCCAAGAATGAGAAGATATTGTTTAGGTGAGGTAATTATCTGTTTTTGCTTTTATAAAATAAAAATATTCATTTATAAACGTTTATGATAAGTAAATGTGATGAACTCAATAATTTATGGAATATTTTTTTCTTCTGTTAAATTCCATTTTAGGAGTTAAGATTTTAAGTTTTGGCATTGCAATAGACACTTGATACATCTATTAGGTTACTCACTAACATTAACATTAAATAACGTTAACATTAAAGACAAATGTTAACTTTCCCACTAGAGAAGGAAGAAAAACTTAGAAGAAATAAAAGAATAGTCCGTAGTACAGACCTCTGTTTACCTAATTATTAACATCCACCAGAAACTTCGTATTTTATTTACGCGAAATTCCCGAAATCGGGGCGTTTTCAATCAGGAGATCAGCGAATTTTGTCTATTCAATTAGGTACTAAAAACTCGTAAATACCCATTTGCTTTCCACTTGAATCGGAAGATAATTTGCGTACAAAATATAGAAAAAAGATGGCCTTGAATAATATTAGGCCATTTTGCGTGACTTACACCATCAACATGTGAAAATAACGAGGGTATATAGGCCAAATGGCCCAATATTTTTGTAGGTGATATTTTTTTTTTAGATTTTGTGATCAAATTATCTTACGATATAAGTGGAAAACAAATGAGTATTTAGCACGTATTTTTTAAAAACTTTTTTATTGAGAAATATTACTAATATTAATACTATATCTGTCTCAGTTAAGGACACTTACAATAGAGTTCAGAGAGTACATTCACAGAAACATAAATCAATAAAGTAATAACAAAAGAATACATAGAAATAATAACAAAATAAAATATTATAAGGGGCGTGAAAATAAAAATATATATATATACTTGAGTAAGTAAAAATAAAAATAAAAGTACAATAAACATCTTAGATACAAGCTTACCTATATTTTGCATACCTATATTAGCATACCTTCAGAACAATCTTGTCCTCCCACTTCTGGAGGGAAAAGTGAGCCTTAGGATATCTCTGTGCTTCTCCCTCAACCATTTCACTGGTATTTAAAACCAGCGGAGGATGATTAAGAGCGCTACAGCCGCACACATTCATGACTTGAGTGGAGAATCTGGCCATTGCTACAATTCCAATATATCCATATTTACAAGGTCTCAGAGTCACTGCCGCTTTACCTACCAAGGGGATTGATTATAGAGATGGGTGGTGCTTGATAGAGATTGTACTACAGGATTTGGGTGATGAGTAAGTCTCTGCTGTAATTTGGAAAATTTTTCAGGGATGAGGATCAAGAATAAATGAAATATTAAGGTCATTATGAAGGGTTATATTGGTTACATAGAAAGGAGCATCGACTATTGTACGGAGGACTTTAGACTGGAAGGATTGAATGCGTTTGATGTTAGAAAATTTACCTGTTACCGACAGTTCTAGTACGTAGATCCAGATGGGTTTTAGTATTGTCTTGTAGATCAATAATTTGTTTTCAATAGAAAGTTTATATTTTCTATTCAGTAGTTCTATAGCTGGCCACATCGGCTGTTAAGTTCCTGTCTTTTAAATCTAGTATGTGGATTGGACATAAGTCGTCTGTCTATGTGTCTGAGATCAACGATTGTGTCGGAGAAAGGGAGCTGAATGGAGTTAAAATAAACTGGTGGACACGAATTACGAAGAAGGATGAAGGTAATGTGTTTACATTTAGATTCGTTTGCGCCATTTCTTACACCAGTCTTCAATCTGGCAGATTGAAGACTGGTGCCTTTGTAGGTTTGGGGACGCTTTTTGAGGATATAAGTTGGAATATTGATCTTAACTAAATAGACAAAGTTTGCTGATCTCCAGATTGAAAACGCCCCAATTCCAAGATTTTTCGTAAAAAAAAATAAAAAAAATCGTAGGTCATGATGAGTTGAAGCTATTTACGAAGTTTCAGGTGGATGTTAATAATTTGATAAAAAGAGGTCTATGCCACGGACTAGAACAAAGTTGTTTTCACATATGGCTTTAGTAAAATTCAGTAAACCGTGACCTTTATATCCCATTCATTCTTAATCTAATCCCAGACAAATTTTTCGAATTCATTTCACTAGAACCTCGTTTATCACCCGAATTCGGTAGCAAAATCCCGATATAATATCACACATCCCTACAACTCTGCCTGCAGGAAAAACACGGCAGTGGTCCACCGACCTTTTGTTTCGGAGTACCGGTAATGGCCTGATTCTACACTCAAGTCACGTGAGTCTATCGGTGACGCAGTTGAGTGAGAAGCGCTGAGATCTCTTAGAACCTCGTTTTTCCCTACACAAGTGAGAAGACAAGACAGGTTAGAACTTCCCCTCACTGATTGTGAATGTTGTATAGTATGATTGTGTTTAAGTTGTTTATTTTATCTTTTGAAGTTAATATTTTTTCTTTAATCTATTTTATTTTGTTCTTATTTTTATGTATTTAGATATCTATTACGTTGCTATTACTTAATATTTATTGTAAATATTGTGTGAATATGCTTTCTGATCTATAATATAATTGTCCTTAATTGAGACAGAATGTAATATTTTCTAATAAACAAGGTTAAAAAAAAACCCTGCACCTAATACGCAAAAAATTCGTCTACGAAACTATATTTCTAAAACATCTTGTCAGACCAGAATACAAGTTTGAGGGTAGGTAAGTATTAATGTGAAAACAGTCTATTATACATTTTATTCTATTCCATCTTTCCACGTTTACTTTAGCATGATCAAAGGTAGTTTCATTGATAAATTATGAAAAAAAGTGGCGATTCGTATATTTTATTCATAATTGCAAAAAATCACCGAACTTGAATAGAAATTGCGGGAAGCTACACTGACCCAAGTTGAGACCTTATTAATTAAGATTATTATCTCCTACGGCCTTCGGCCTTCAATAAATTTCTTCTTCAGCCTTCCTTCAAAAGCATGATTCCGATCAATGTAAGTGCATCCGCAAGTTTCTCCTCCCTCCCACAAGCAATTAATATATTTGTTATTATTTCCCGACTCTTCCAGCTTCCCGATTGGCCAGTTCCACCCTTGAAATCCCAACGCCTATTGGTCGGCCGATTCAAGGACGACCTCCCGCTGATATTTTTCGCCCGTCATTAGATATAAAACCGCCGCTTCCTCATTATACAGTTTGTGTCTTGTGGTTTCTAAATCAGGGAAGATGTCGACTGGGCTCAGCTTCTTTTTATTGGGGATAGTTCTTCAATTAGTCCAAGCTGAATTACGTAAGTATTTTTTTTTTTTTTTTAAATTTGGTTGAAAATTTTATTTTCCGAGAAAAAGAAATTTTAAGAGCATTCACTTGAAATAGCGATGGATCCAGGGTAAGCAGGAACCCACTCCCCTGGAAGGTGAAAAAAAAATGATCTTTAAAAAGTTGAACAATCAGCACTTCTATTATTATTATTTTAATTGAAGAGTGCATTGTATTAAAATAAAACCAAATATGTATAATTTGTACTCAAAAACAACGAATAATTTCAATCGTTTAAATATTGACATTAGAAATTCTTCCCTTATTGGCTAAATAAATGAATATTGTTGCTTAAAGCAGTTGCTAGAGTGTTTTGATCCCTTGGAAAATATTTTTAATTAACTTTGTGGGGGAAAAAAAATATGCAAACTATCGTGTTTATGAAGAATTTTGGCCCCCTATTTTATGGCAAAATATTAAACTAAGCTAAAATACTAAAATACACTTTTTTTTTCACTCACTCACCCACACACTTATACCCTTAGTGTATGAAATTCACTTGTTTCGCAAGTGGGAGCTCCCCCATATCCGCCACTGGATGGATAAAAGCTGAAATAATTATTTTCGTATATGGAAAATTTGGAAATTCTAATATTAAAATCTATCTTTTCTTCAAAATAATAAATAATATAATAGTTAATTTCATTAAACTTGACTTTTTTCATTAATCCTTACAATAGCGAATCCACTTTACACCTAATCAAGTTCAACAAAGGTTTGTAAAATCTATTCGTATTTTATTCATTTCTGAAAATCCAACTTCATGAAATCAGTTTTTTGTAGTTTACAGCTCACACGTACATAATGTTTTATGTTTTATTTAGAATAGAAATTAACAAAGCAGAGTATTGTTAGTAAACTAGTAAAAAATAACTTATTATATTTTAACCATATTGTACACAACCCTTTTTATGAAATTATCAACATCCGTGTAAAACTTTGTGAATGGCTTCATCTCATTGTAAAAATCCTCAGAAATAGTGGGGTTTCTCAATAAAGTAATTAATTAAATTTTACGTAACCCATATATTGATCTGTTGTGACCGGAGGCTACTCCAAACAACCCAATATTTTTATAGGCCCCCGTTTTGCTCAATGTTTTTATCAAATTATCTTACGATTCAAATTAAAAGCAAATGGGTGTTCATATGTTCTTAGTAGTAGCATAAAAGAGACACAGTTTACCGACTTCCAGATTGAAAACGCACTATTTTCAAGAATCTTCGTAAGTAAAAAAGTTGTTAATTACGTTAAGATGAAGTCAATCATGAAATTATAGATACATGTTAGTAATTTGATAAAAATGAGTATTCACTGCTTGCAGTTTGACATTAATTTTCGTATAGTTGTCAAAGGTGTTTTGATTACAAAAGTATTTTTTCTCCGTTATAGAAATTAAAAAAAAAAAAATTAACTACAAAAATACTATATTACAACTTGCATTAATTCCTCAAACTCATGAAAGTTATTTTTTCTTTCAAATGTTGATATTCTTAATATTTATAAATAAACATTTTTAAAAGGAATTAAAATGTTACGATAAACAAGTATTCTATTTATTTTATAACTTTAATCTTTCAGTCATTTTCAATAAAAAAAAATTATTTATCACAATGAGAAGTCTTTATAATAATTTTCCAAAACTGGATTTTTTTACTTTTGATAGACTGCTCCTGAGTTTTATATTATTGTAATTTTCTTTCTGAGCGAACGCTGAATTTGCTTTAAGTAGTAAACGATCTATTATATTTTCATTTTTATAAATATAGGCCATATTCCACCAACATTTTTACAACGATTCGGCCAACACTAGGATCATTTTCAAGTTTGGAAATTTTTTTATCATTATTAGATTACAATTTAATTACATTCACAATCAAAAGATTTTCTTTTATTTTACGTAATTAGTTAATCTCCTGATTCTTTCATACATTTATACTATACATCAATTATTATACTTTTTTAATTGCCTGTCATGTAAGTGACCTTTACACATTATACAAATTTAATTGTTAACTCGATCGAGCCCCCCTCCCCAACATGACAATGGCCATGATGTTGTCAAGATAAAATAAAAAAGAAATAAAATGTTGGTGAAACATGGCCTTAATTTATCAAATTTAAAATATCAAGACACCAAATCTAGGTATAATCGACAAAATATAAATCTACTATATTTTATTTAATTCAGTAATTTACCAGAGGATGCATTGCATGATTGTTTCTGGTATAATATGATTTTCGATTCCTATTTTATTCTAGTTTGTATCAATACACGTAAACGTTGATGTTTTCCGTTAGTTGCTTTATTTAAACAGTACCAACGGTTTTCCCACCTAATCGTTTCCTAAATCATAATCTACCAATCGTGACTCCTTTGTAAGAACAATGCTGACGGGTTATTGTGAGAATGCGCCATTTGTTAACAATGCATACTTCTCCTTTTCCGGACCCCTTACACTCGAGATGTCCTTGTGCCCTGTGTGTGGCTAACATGTCAGGACAATTATCCCTAAATGGCAATGGACACGCGTGGAAACTCTTTGATTATTATATTTAACCGACTTCAAAAATTTAGGTTCCCATATAACCTTTAAGAATGTTTTTTCAATATATATTTACTCATTTGTCAGGAGCTGTTATTAAAAAATAACCATTCAATAATGACGACTATTATAACAAAATAACTCGAATTACTCGGTGACATTTTTTCTTCATTGCACTGCTATCATGACAGTGAGATAGGGTGTAAATTAACCTGATAACACGTATTAGGAAAAATAAGAGGTGTAGAATTTTATTACAGATGGTGGATTTTTTTTTTTTTTTTTTTTATGCACTTTACAACTCCTTTATTCACTATAATAACTTCTAATATTCATCGAGGAATTTAATAACTTTTTAAGTTTAGATTGAATTAATTTGAAGTTAATATGTGTGATTCCCAGATTACGAGAAATTATCAAGATAAACTTTTTGTATTTTTTAATCATAATCAATTTAAATATATTTTCAAAATACTTGTCTATACATTCAATGCATCCTGAACTAATAATCTTAAAAATTAGTCAAAATCAACTGTTTTTTTTTTCTTGGAACATTAAAAATTTCCAAATTAATTATTGTTATACAGCTTGAATTTAATTTTTTTTTAATCTACAGTTAAGAAAACAAGTTAAATTAGAGCTATTACCAAGTAATGACCTCGATAAAATCAATTAATTTTTTTAATAAAATAATTATTTTTACGTTATTATTTTTATTTCTTTAATTTTTTAAATTATCTTTATTTTTACCTCTGTGTTTGGGTAATCGAGAAAGAACCAGGGTTCAGCTGTTATCAACGTACTATGTTTTCCTCCAAATAATAGGAGAAATTTAGTAATCTGGTACCATTGTATTTATTGAGGGTACATTGTTGATTTAAAAAACTTGTTATTTAAAATATGATTTGTTTGGAATTGTTTTTTAGTATAATTTGTTTTTCTGTTAAATTATAATTGTTTTCCCTCTTAAAAATATTAAAAATGAATTCCTGATATAAGTACATACACTTGAAATACGTAGGTTTTCATCATTTCCTATTTCTATTATTAATAGAAATATTGTTTCGCCAAAATATTTGTCAATTGAAGATTATCTCTGTATATATTGCAAAGTGCAAGACCAAGACCGATTTTGTCAACACTATATACAGCACATGAAATCAATATTCTGCCGCTTTATTTAAATCAAACATACGTTTCCACGACTTAAATATTTTATATATATATATATATATATATATATATATATATATATATATATATATATAACTAGAGCATACAACTAATTTAATAACCAGATATGAAATTAGGATTAACCGCTCTGCAGCTTTGCAGCTCATTTAAAAAGCATATGAATTATGTATTATTGTATTAGAAAACGCCTAACACGGGTCTGTGGAAACTACTCATTTTGCTTATAAACTGTTCATTACGAAAGAATGGTCAGTAATATGTCATAATTCCTCTTTAATGTTTTCATCTCTCTTGCTTCCTTGTCTCCATTTGCCACGATCCAAAGGTTCAATGTGATGAATTGACTAATATATGATGTATCTATTAAATATATTTTATTAAAAAATGATAAATATGTTTATTTATATATTATAAATATATATAATTGAAATAAGTAATAATTTTTAATATCTTTCATTAACATATTTTATATGAGTAGCAAACGTATTATGCACTGACTTTTACACATTCATGCTTTTTACTCACAGAATGTTCAATACATAATTTTTCGAGAAGTAATCAATAAAAATTCTCACTGCAAAGACATTTGAAATTTAGCTCACTCACTAAAAGAATCAAAATTCTTATCGACAAAATCATTGTAATGCCAGTGGTTATGTATGGGTCTGAGACATGGATCTATACCAAAATCTCACAACGCATGCTCCACTCCTGGAAGAGAAAAGAGTTGAGAAGAATATGAGGCGGAATCACTGAGAAAAGGATTAGGAAAAGAAGAAGGAACGAGGAACTGCGTGAACTGAGGAACCCGATATCGTGCGATTAAAACGAGCCCGTATAAGATGGATCGATCATGTGGGAAGAATGCCCGACCAAAGAATGCCGAATGAGAAGCCGGGTAGCAAAAAAAGTAGAGGATGCCCTTGGGTCAGATGGCAGAAGAATGTGTAGGACCATTTGAGGCGGCTGGGTGTTCAAAAATGGAGGGAGTCAGCAAAGGATCGAGGATATTGGTTAGCTGTAGTTCAAGGGGCCCGAGTTCTTGCAGAACCGTAGTGCCATTGCATTAAATAAATTAATTAAAAATGTCTTTAATGTAATTTGTTGAATGAAAGATATAGTTAATTGATACGGATCAGTCCGTTTAACTTCATGCCTTCTTAACGAAAAACGCGGTATTTATTTTCATATCCGTTCTATTTGGCTTGTACTTGCAATTCGTTCGTACGATTCGAAACCCAGATAACTAGCCACGTTCTGGAACTGGAACTTTTCGGAAAAAACTCTCGAGGATAATATTCATCTCACTTAAACGGGAATAAGTTGACTGGTGGAGAATGACTACAAGACTAAACAAACCCTGATTATAAAATAAAGTTGAGAGTTCAATATATTCATATTAGGTTTATCACCCTATAACCAAAGCATACAAATTAACATTCATGTGGGAATATGTAATATATTTTGATCATTTCAAAACGACTTAAATAACACTCTGCTAATTAAAAAATACGCTCATTGAGGTTATTAAAAAAAAGTCTAACAATTTTGCGAACTATTGAGGTCAACTTCAAATGAGGCGTATGCTTTTGCTATATTTCTTTTTTTTTTTTTTTAACAATTATGATTTTTATTTAACTTTACACGACTAGATACCACAGAAAGTAAAAATATTGCTTCTAATTATCTTAACCAACTGACTCGTATTTAGACCGGTTTGTTCGTTCAAGTAGAAAAATAAATGTAAATTACTTTTTGTCATAATTAATTTTCCATTATATAATTCTACTGTATATTATTGCCATGTTGAAATCTTAACTCGTAGAAATGTTAATTTTAAATAATATATAATACTAATCAAAATTAGATTCATTTGAGGACCGCTATTTTACCATATACATTGCAAAAATAAAAACTTCTTAAGAAAATGTATATTTTAATAAATTATTTTATTGTAACGTTATAGTTTCTAATAAAAATGGCATGTCTAACGATATTTCACATGTTCTTAAATTGTGTGTTCTTCTATATCCCCTTCCAATTGAGTCAGGAGTTACATTTGTATGTTTTGTTTTTTTGGGGGGGGGCTTCACTTTTTCTCTCACCGCCGAAATTTTTATTCCAGGACTTGAGTTTTTTGAGGTTGTGAACTCCTCTGCAGCTCCTACTAATTGAATTACAAGATTGAAAATATGTAATTGAATTGAATTAGGGTTAGAGAAGTAATTTTTTGTGGTAACAACTCTTTTTTTTCACTCCCGCCATTTGTATAACTTAAATTTTGAAAACAATTAAAATAGATTCAAAAATAAAATTTGAGAAAGCAACTCCATCTTACAATTGCAATACAGTTTTCTTAACTCTCAACTTAATTTAACGCAGTTAAATATTAATTTAAAAATTAAATCACTTTTAATCTGTTTTACGAAGACAAGAAAAAAACACGATCTTTACTATACATGCGTTTTTATGTGTATGTGTTGTTTTTTTTAGTCAATTGTTGTTGAATCATACTGTAATATATCTTTTACCTCAAACTCGTCTTACATAATTTTATTAAGGCTTACACGAAGTAATTCAATTAATTACTGTTGAAGTATATTTATATTTCGTCGTCGGGAAGTTAGAACCAGACAACTTGCCTGGAAAAAATTCTCTAATGAAACTGCTTACAAACTGACCCATTGGTTCTGTTTTCTATGTATTTTCAACAACTAACCAAAACAGTTTTTTTTTTTCTCCTTCTGATATATACATAGGGATGGACAGAGGCTCTTGGGATGAAAACTATCACTTAATTAGAGCCCTTATAAGAAATTTAATCTCCTTAGATAAAAGAGTAAAAAATCAAATATTCATTGATTGAGGTTAAAATGATAATGACTAAAAATAAATATGTGTTCGCACCTTAACAGATGCTAATCGAAACTACTCGTCCAAGCCATAAATTCCATAAAACCAGTAATTTAAAGTAGAATAAGCAAATTCAATCAACACCTATTTTTTTCATCTGTCGAGTCGGAAATCAGCTAAAGAGCTATATTCCAGAACTGAATTGATTATCTGAGAGGAGAGCAGCTTGTTGTTCCAACTCAATAATTTTAAAGCAAGATGTTGTTAGTGGGTTATATATTGTTTATGTTTTCGTTATTTTAAAACAACTAAGAAATATCAGCGAAAAACACTGATTATATTCTGGAATATGAAATTCTAGTACGAGTTATCGTTTTTATAAAATATTCGTTCGTTTTATTCTACTTCGGCTCAAGGTTCTCAGAGGTGCCTAATCTTCCAAGGTCGATGGCGCATGAATCCCTCTCCTCTTCTCCCCCAAGATATTTTATTGCTTCCGTTTTCTTTAAAACACTGCAAGCGAAAGTAGAATTAGAAAAATCGTCGATCATTAACAATATACTTGCTGCAGTATGTTTTCCCATTGTCTCTTGGTTCGAAGCTTTTAATTCCGCAGAAATGTGCTCCTTCAAAAATTCAAAACCCAGTCAAATTGTGCCCACTTCAAAATTTTTGATGCGGCAACTTGCACCATTAAACCCCCTTCTTGATAAACCTGAGGGTTCTTACGGGTCCAAGGTCAAACCTCTTGCAGGAGAGGAGCAAGTGAATCATTGGAAACAATAACATTATTTTGAAAAAAATTAATAATAAAATAAATATTAGAACTTATTTATTCTTCCAAGATTTATTGATTGTTTGGTGCTTTGTATCCCTCTTATTATTTTAAACAGTCGGTCAATAAGCAAAAATTTTACTATAAGTATTATTGATGTTTTATCATCACAAATGGGCAAAGGTGAAAGTTCCCGACTTTACATGAACACTTAGTTGCCTATGAAAGCCACAGACTGCTGCGTCGGGTTTCGCAAGCTTATTGCAGTCCCGTTATGCAGTGAACCTGCAGTGACATAATGCAGAATCCACAAGGGATAATCCTCCGTGGTAACTTCATCGTTGCTGCATCTTAGCTTTTACAAAAATGTTGCGAAATGATGAAATTATAATTCGAATATTTTCGTCATGTAGAATTTAATACGGCGTGAAAATCATGCTAATGCATGCAGGATTAATTGGTCTTAAACGTCATTGTTTAGGATATAATTAATTGGGTTGCATAATTATTTATTATTGTAGTGCAGAGTCTAGTTACGATTTGTAATCTGCTTCAACGATAAGAAAACATATCGATACAACAAAAAAAGCTAAAAAGGAATTTCTAGGTAAACGCCTTTGGGTGTGCTCACAAGGACGTCTGCCTGTCTTACTACAACGTTCAATCCGTTTAGCTGACACTAAAACTCAGTCATATTTTTATTTTATTTGTTCTCCTCTATCTCACTTTTTGCTTCTATACGGGGTTATTCCTTAGCCGATGGATTAATGACAGAGTTAAAAGCCCTTAGTACCGGAAATTGAACTCGAGTTAAAAAAAAAAAAGTACATTTTAAAAATACCATAATTACAGAAACAATAATGTAGACATTTCTTTTTTCTTTTTTAATTGTTTTCTTTACATGTGCTTACATTTAGTTGTTGCACGTGTATTATAATTTAAATGGAGGACATATTTTGAAGTATTTTGAAATGTGGCCCCCTCAAAAATTTTGATGATCCAACGTCCTCCATGAAACCCCCTTCTGGGCACCGCTGTATAGAAGCACCCAGGTTAAAATGTTGCGGTCTTACCATCATCTTCCACCCGCATACGAACTCCTCGAAATACAGGTAGTTCTCTTCTTTCATTACTAGAGGGATATCACTTTCTGTCATAACGTACAATGTATCAAAATACATTGTATAACCAAAGGTAGTATAGCATTAGTAATTCTATATCCAACCTTCAACTTGGTGTCAATCACCTTCCTCAGCGACTCCGTATTAACTGCAAACCCTCAGAACTCGAGTTTTGCCATATATATATATATATATATATATATATATATATATATATATATATATATATATATATATATATATATATATATATAAAATTATTTTCAATAAAATCCTGTAACTAAGGTTCGAGCCGTTGGTTTCTCATAATCGAAATCCTCTCTACACGTAATGTACGTATTTGCAAGCGCTTCACCTCACTCGTCCAACCTGACCGCTATGTATAAAACTGCAATAATAAATTATCAATTTAAACAAAAAATGTGGTAAATAAATTTATACTCCCTAAAAACGTAGGATCATAAATATTTGTTTTACAGCAATTAATTAACGTTTTACATTTAAAAAAAAACCTGTAACACTATAACCCATGAAAGATCTTGGGTTCAGTACTATTTAGGGAAATCACTGTTCCTTAGTCTACGGTTGTGCAAGGAGGTGATTTGACCGAGATCATGCTCAACCACCAGGCTTTTTCTCTTAATTAATTAAGGGTACCCACTTTATAGAGGCTGGGTGTGCCCCACGGCCAATGAAACAGAGTAAATACTTTTTCTGCCCGGATTCTAACCTGGGACCTTTAGCATTGGAAGCTCAGTACCCTACCACTGAGCTACCCCGCTCCTCTTTACATTTTGATACTATATAAAATTATTTATTTTCTGTTACAGCCAGCTACATAAAGGTATGCAAGAGAAACGACCCTAAAATAGATAAATGTATCATAAATTCCATTGAAACCATCAGGCCTCAACTTATTAAAGGTTAGTAAATTTTACTTTTTTATTAATACATTAATTATTAACTGTTATTTATTATAAAATATTATTGGATTGGAAAACAGGAAGTATCAGTATTTTTTCTGAAAACGTTCCAAATTAAAACTTAATTAACCAAAAATAGAATCCATGCACTTACTTACTTAAGCCCTTTTGGACCTATGCTTCACAGATAAACGGGACAGCCAAAAAGACTCATTACTAAAGTCTCCTGGTACGTTAGTAACATTACTTTATTTAAAGACCTACAAATGCCAATAGTTAACGACCACATATGAACATACTACAGAAGATTTCACAATAACATAAACGGACACACCAATTCATTTATTCTAGCCATGTCTACATTTAGCATGCCCTAAAACACGCTTAGGAACGTAAAAAAAAGCTGGATGAGGAGTTTTCTCGCTTAAAAAGTATAATAAATTCAACTATTCAACGCCACTACAAGTATTCTTACCGACAGCAGCTATCCTGATTGTCATTATTTATGTGGGTAAAGATATAAAAAAATAGTATCAGGTTATGAGGCCAACGAAGAAAAATGAGCCTAACAAAGAAATAATCATTTGGAAGCTATATTATTATTTATTTATTTTTTTTTTGCCAAAAATGTCTAACTTGAAAAAATGGTGGCCAGTTGAAGAAAATTAAGATAAAAATGATAGATGTGGCAGAACTTCATTTTCGAGATGTACCCTTTTTTTTTAGATCAATTGAAGTATTTTTTAAGATACTAAATACTTCCAAAAATTAAAATTTTCATTTCTCGAGTTTATTTATTCAGTATCAGGAAGTTCCTTATTTTGTTAATTACTAGTTTCTGAGTAATTCTGAGACCATATAATCCGTAATTGGTCTCTCAGCGGCCTTCGTTTTGAATAGAAAGGATAGTTTATAGATTTCCATCGACGAGTTATAGATAATTAAATGACAGCAGTTTCAATAAACTTTATTGTTAATTCATTTATTAATGTTGCTATATTTTTTACATTATAGATAAAACATTAAACTACATATCATAACTCATCAATTAAAGAAATGAATAAATAATCATACAATAAACTTTAATATTTAAGTATGTAGAAAAGTGAAAAAAAATAGCTTACAAGTTCTAAATATTAACAAATATTCATTTATAATTAATTATTGCAGGAATTCCAGAGCTAGATGTACCAGCCTTAGAACCACTCGTTATTGACAAAATAGCTGTTTCTGAAGGAGGGCCTTTCAGAGCTATTGGAACCGATGTCACCATCAAAGGAGCTTCCAATTTCGAAATTAAAGATCTCAAGTAAATTTTATGTTATTATTATATATTTATTTATTTATATAATTACTTAAATAATTCATTTGGTATCCATTATTTCCTATCTCGGTGTAATTGCATCGTCAATATCTGCACCAAAATCTTCGTAATAGGCAATCATTTTATACGTTATTGTTCTTCATATCAATACAAATATAATTATATCAAACAAAAAGTAACATTTTAAAAAATGTTTTACATTCATTAGGATCGGTAATAATTAATTTAAAAAATGTCACTGTTTCGCTAAGAAATGAGAGCTTGTTTGTCGTTCTTCAGACATGAGCATGGTTCCTACTTAAACAATAATCATGAAGAGTGAAAAAAATAAGTTAAACAAATTTAAAAAAGCTGGTGCGCGCTACACACAACTTCCACTCACCGCTCTACTTTGACTACTATTTTTTGCTAATATTGAGCTAGTTAAAAATTTTTGAATTGCATTTTTAACTGAGCTAAAGCTAAAAGATTACAGCTAACAAATCATTAACACCATTAAAATAACAAAAACCCTATTAATTATATCATCAGTCGGCTACAAATACCTCGGTACTCCATCTGTTTTATAAACCACACAACTCCAGTCTCTGAGCTATGTATATATGGCTAGAGATATTTTGAAAGTATATCTGTATATTAAACCTATAAATGATTTTGGACTGTACGACTAGTAGTTATTATTCTGTTATTTTCCATTGTTAAGTTTACTAAAAAGAAATTACGAGATTTTCATTGCCTGACATAGAAAGGTCAGAAGTTGTCACACTAATTTCAAGTGGATAATGTTGTGATATCACAAATATAAAACTCATCAAATTATTTACTAATTTAATATTCTAAAATATTACATGACGGTTTTCGGAATAAACGGACGTTGATACCTAATTATTTAAATATAATATCATGTCTAGAATTACTAAACTACAATAAATGTATTTAAGGTTATAAACATATGCTTTATAAATCCATGAAATATTTTTATATTTCATTTCTTCTTTCACACAAGTACAATGAAATAGTATTTTAAACAATGTCATAGTCTTGATTCGGTGGATTTTAAATACTTTTTCAAACTTAAAAAAATTGTAAGAAGTTTTCATTTAGTAAGGAAATATCATTTAATTTTCTTGCAAACATGTGATTTACGTTAAATAATGTTAGTTTTCAGAAATTATTATTTATATTTTATTCGTTACTTTCCGTTATCTTTTACAACTTTATTAATTAGATATTATTTTTTATGAAATTCTTCGCTTTCCAACGATATATTATACGTATACCTCCTGACTATTATTTCCGAAGATTCATTTTCGAGCTGGATAAGAATATTTATTTTTTTCTCCTTTATTCATTTTTTTAAAAATATCATAATCCGTCTTAAAGGACATTTATGATAGTGTTCAGAGATCACATTAAGACTATATTCAATTATTAAATTCTTTCAAAAGTTATATATAGCCTTTTTTCATAATTCCTAACGAAGAGAGTATAGTTAATTTTTTTTAATAAAGTCAAATTATATGCATTTTATAGGAAGGCCGTATATGAACATTGAGCATGTAAGCCCTGCAAAGTGATATCAATGAGGATAAGGCCTAGGTGATATTAAAAACAACTTAATAATACACTGATATATCGAGTTGTCGAGCCGTTGTCGAGAAAATCGTAAAAATGTGTGACATCGATATATAAAGTGTCACTTCCGGTTAGCCGATTTTACGATAACGTTGCTGGAATATCTGAGGTATATACAAACCTTAAATATGAAATGCCACGTTCATATCTATTTTTTATTGAGCTAGACTGCTCACATACATACACACAGAGACCATTTTGCGGGACTGGTTATTTGGACTCAGGAGTCCTGTATTTCCGTTGAAAACTCAGATTCGAAAATTTTCACAATCGTAATACCATCTCTTACTATACATTTTACATATAGGTAAGTGAAAGTAATAAGCCAAAATGATGAAAGCCAGGTGATGTTATGAAATATTTCAAGATTCAATTATTTTGAACGAACATTAGTGGAACATGTTCTTTCCAAGCCGAAAAAATACTTTACTTCTTCAAGCAAAGATATTTTAAAAATCTATTACTTGCAAAATATTTTCTTTATTTTTCAACTTATTTTTTATAGTATTTTTTTATAGTGTATAATAGAATCCGATGTTAGTATAAAGAATTAAAATAAAAATTATGATACACTACTGGATCAGATGAAGTTTTTGATATGCTGCACGGAATATAAAACTATTCAGTAACTAGATCTTATGCATATTAAAAAAAATGTGATATTAAAAACTAATGAATGTGAGATATACGTTAAAATATAATTGTCCCATCTCCGCTATAAAATCTTGAGTATCTAAAAAACACCTTAATGAACTAACCAATAAAGTGATAGTCACACTAAAACAAAATTGACCCGTAGCTAGTTTTAGACAGATTATGTTGTAATGGCCGAGAGAGTTTTAATGCTTTATTGTAAAATGTTTCAACATTTGTAGTTGAATGTTTATTGCCATGCTATGGCATCAAATCATGTCATTACAGTTATATGTAAGAGGACATATAACTTTTAACATCTCAATGTTATCTACTATTGCCACGTTTAATGGCCTCACTTTCCCATGTGAGTGATCATAAAACTATTATTGAAGTCTTCTCAAGGATAAACAGCCTCGTTACTTATTACTTAAGATGGAAACTAGGATTTGGATAGCTGATTGTTGAAACGGAGAATAAAATTATGAGAAAATATGGAGGAGTAAACGCTAAAATTACTCGAACATGAATTCTCACGAATGTTAGAATGGAGAAGGGCCAGGAATAAGTGTTATGATGAATGATTTGCTCACAAGGGGAAGTTTCGGATGTAAGGTTACCGATTCCAATGAAAAATGTTTTGGTGATACTAGGTCGAAATATATACACCCAAGTCCGAAGGTTTTTGTCAATGCGCCCTAGGAGTCGAGAGAAAAAAAAAAATTTTATATAATTTCACCAGATTTTTAGTTTTACTAAATGAAGGTTTGATGCCTGTCATTAAACAGATTTATTTAATGAAGTCCAAAACTTCTCTCGTTATACTTTTTTGCTACGTTTAAAGCTTTGATGAAACTAAAAAAATCAAGGCTTAAATATTTCTGCTTGGACTTAAGAATATTAAAATTAATTATCTAAATTTAACGAATTATAATATTATTCCTTCAATATTATATTGCAAAGAAAGAAAGAAAGTAAATTTTATTCTGGGACACTTATCAGAATAACTATAATGACAAAGAAATGACAATTGTCTGGCGATTATGAATAATTAAATTTAAAAAAAAATTTAATTTACAAAGTTTTCTAACCTTAATATTAAAATAAAGAAAAGACACCGTAGTAAATATATGATCGTGAAGTAGACCTATGAATACCGTTGTAGCAATAATTGACAAAAATGATAAAAACAGGATTCTAAATTTTAGAGACCGTGAGTATTGAACACAATTATAAATGTAATTTTTAGTTTCATTTACTTCTTTTATTTCAATAATAAGTATAAAATAAATAAATAAAATAAGGATGATCGAGGTCAATAACACGTCTTTGTCTGATAATCTGTAAATTCAGAGTACAAATTAATCGTATTAATCGTCTTTTAAGTGGCTGGTATCGAGGTATAGCGTTTTATTCTGCGCCCTTGTTCTCGATATTTGCACCATAATAAACTATTATTCTATTGAACATAATTATTATCATTATTCGGCCATAGGTGAAATGCCTTATGTATGATCTGACTTTATGTCAGGTAATAAAATGCGTGAAAATTGTTTTTATTACAACTATCTTATTATTTGATATTTAATAAAACGTCTGTTTATTTCGCATAAGAATAATGCTAATTGGTAGTTAAATATTGTTTAGTGTGCGAGAGTGATTGAGTATGATAATTACTTAGTATGTTATCCCTCCGTGAAATACAGCTATTGTGAAAGTCCTTGATCGACTCGGAAATTATAGAAGGAAGTAAATTACATTGCACTGAAAAAAAAAATACAACTATCAATCGATTAGCTTAAAGAAATATTTGTTCCTGGTCACGTTATTTTTAATTTTTAACCTTTATAACGCTCATAGAAAGTTCGTTAACACTTCAAGGGTTTATATTTCACCGTATCACTTACTTATTTCAAAAAAACGTCATCAATCATTAGGTAAATGACTAAGCTAAAAAAGGTATAAAATGTCATCACAGAACGTCCTTGGATAAAATGGATATCATAGTTTGTCTATTAATAAATAACTTCGATCATTGTTTCATCATCATAAAATGGTGATGCTTAATCATTAAAATAAATTAAAGGCAATCAATTAAAGAAACAAGTATCTCTGACAACCAATTATTGTCAGAACTTCCAGTTCTTAGAAATGGCTTGTTTTTAATCTTCAAGGCCACAATGTTGAAAATTTACTTTTTAATGAGTAATGATTTTATTAAAAAATATTGTATCTTGAGTTCTTCCCAGAAAATAATGTTTACTTCAATTAATTTATTTATTTATTTATTGGGTATTGCAACAATCTGTCACCTGGACACTAATTATAGTGAGGTAGGATAACATTCACACTATATGTACAAAAAATATAAAATAAATAGAAGCAAAATAACAAAAAATAATAATCAAAAAGTATATACAATAAATAAAATAAAATAGCCTAAAAATAAGAAAATTAAAACTAAGCAAACAACACATGCATACCTATATACACTAGTTAAATTAATTAAAGACAAGATATATTACATATACATAATAAACGAGGTGAGTACCCTCTTCCCCATCCCCATTTTACAAATTATACACCTGTTCCTTTAATTGTACTCCTCATTGCTCAAATTGTATAATTTTAATTTATATGTATTCTGTAGTTCAGATTGTATTATTTTTATTAATATAAAATAAGCAGAACTTACCACAGTTTCGAAAAAGTTTTAA